TATCACGGGTCCGGGTCCGTTTACCCAAAACGTTGACCGAAGTTAAATTAGCTCATTCTATAATCAAAACTTATTATTTTTCACAGATTATCATATTTAAGCTTTCCGGCTACGCGCCTGGACTACGCATACAAATCGAGGTAACTCTAAATGAGGTTTTCAAGGCCTCAGAATACGGAGTTTCATTTTAAAACAAGTGATGACCTTTTGGGTCATCACAGTTATTGTTATTATTATTGTTACTAGGTAATTTGCCCGCACTTCGCACAATCATAAACAGTCTCATTAAGTTTACAAATTATCCTTTACTAAGATTCAAAAATAAAAAATAACAAAAAGATAGATTCTTCTTAAAACTAAACATGTTAAGAGCATTCAACAAAAATGGTAAAATTAGCATTATCACATATTTGAAGAACCTCTAACGAATGATAACAAAAGTCTTCCCTTTTATCATTTTATCTTCTACTTATTTTTCAATAGTAACATTTGTTCCTTGATATAACTGGCTTCTCAATATTGAATGATCTTTCACAAAATAATCAAGCATCCCTTTCTCTATTTTTATGTTCACAAAAAACATATAATGTTCAGTTTCACGGCGTGCACTATACTTGTTGGCAAGAGCTTCATGATATGAAGGTTTCCTAAAATCATCACTGTTTACAACTTGTTTGGATGGTTGTTACTCATTGTATTGTATCGTATTGTTACTTTAAATACAATGTTTAAATTCGTCGGTACATAACGACGAAATGTGCCACTCTATGTAACGACCGATTTGGTGTGGTCGCGTCGTTACCTTGTCTTTTTTCTCAATCTCACCTTTTATTATTATTAAATTATTTTATTTTATCATTTACCCTACTTTTTTATATAGTAAGTTTACCTTGTATAATAATTTTTCTTTATAATATTGCAAGTTTATTCTTCATCTTGCTAGTGCGTGATATCATGAAACGATAGCAAACGACACAATCTGTCCAAACATTGTATTTATCAAACGATACAGTACAATACAATACAGTAGGATACAATACATTATGAAACGATGTGTAACAACCATCCAAACAAGCTGTTAAGATCACATGTGAGTTCAAATAAGTTGGACCTATTAATAAATAACATAAAAGAAAAATTGACTAAATATTAAACCAATGATAATCTTGACTGGAAATTGATGAACACAATGTTCTTCCAATAATCTTCACGGAATCTTAGCATTAATTCTCTGGGTAATGAAGATACACAAGGAAAAAAGAGAAACGAATAAGAAAAATACAAAGGCATATTACAAAGAAAAAGAAGATAAGTAGTTTGTATACACTAAACAATCATAATTTATTCTCCGAAAATCTTTTTCAAAACCTCATCAACAAATTCAACAAAGAAATTATACTTGAACAATTAAAATACTAAAGAAAGCTAAATATAGAATGAAAACAAAAAATAAAAGAAAGGATGGCAAATAAATAATGTAGCTAAAATTGGTAATCTCGAGTGAATGTAAAGAACAATCTTAATATCAAGCCCACCAAAAAATTGCCATTGTATCTTAAAAAACTTGTACTCTATATCGAGTTTCCCCAGTATGCGACGAAGGCAAGATAATAATTTTTTCTACAATTTACAATCAAAATCACCTCATACAATAGTATCCATCAATCTAGAGAAATCAAGCGCTTGTTCTTTTTTATCATTCCGGATACAAGGAAATCTTCTTCCTCTATTGCCATATAATTGTCCACAATTTGTATTGTGGCAATAGGGTACCAGTTTGTAGAAGAGCGTGCCCTCATTAAGTCTTTGTTGTACTGTCTCATTGTTAAATTTTGTGTCATGAAAGTTTTGGCCAAAAGAACTCCAAGTCTATATCCGTCTTCACCACACGGTAAATTAATGGGTAATTCAAAGACATGAAACTTGGGAGTAAATATGTGATTCTTTGAAGTCCCTTTTTTTGTCGGATTCGCCTATGGTTCGAAACACACTTTGAAATTTATAGTTGAATATTTATTTCAAATGCTAAGAAGGGAGGAGAAGAATACCTCAGATGCTCTTCTTTCGATTGTAGCTTGTAGCATAGAATTACTGTTGCTTTTTAGAATGTGAACTAATTGAGGTTCTATCAGTATGCCCGATGAAGAATTCCTGAGACAAGATTGTGAGAAATGCGAGCACATGTACATTCATACAAAACGACTAAAGAACTAGAAAAGCAAGAAAAGTTGATGAAGGAATATATATAAAGTATTCGTTGTCCACAATTGTATTAACTGTGGCATGGAACTCGACATAGTGCATGTCTGTTAACGTGCAAATGGCATCAATCCTTGCACTGTAAATCTCATAGCACAGCAGAAACCTTGGATAAAAGGCCAACTCGATCATTCCCATGTAGTTCTAGAGCTGTTAAACCATTATAGCCTTTTGAACGTTAATGATGAATTGCCCCAAATGACTATTTAACAATAGCAAGAAATTTAGATTTATTCTAAACTCATTCAAGCACATTCGTAATGTATGTTAAACTGATATGATCATGCGTATCAAAAAATTGATGTCAAGGCAAACAAAGAACCCAAAGTAACATACTTTATATGCAATTATTGGAATCACAACTACATAAAAACTTGTTCAATGTAACTGATGATACTTCCGCCAGTAAACTTCTTCCATCCAAGTCAATAATGTGATAAAGTACATATAAAGGAGAATTCGAATGGCATCAATCAATTAAAAGTGTTACTTAAAATTCTCCTACACTAAAACGTTTAATGAATTGAGCACACAGTAGATACAAGCTTTCTTAATTGCAATGATTAAAGTATATTACTGAAGACATATTACAAAAAATAAAGAAGTACATTATATTGCGACACTAATCGCTATTACTTACTCATCCCGTCATAGCACTGCAATTCAAGTCTATTATTAATATAATAATAGGTCAAAATTCGAAGTAAGAAGAGTGAAGGATGTTGGCTACTTCTCTTTCTTTGAGGTTGTAATGCATGAAACTTCTTTAATATTTTTATCCCAAAAGGATAAAATTCAAGAACTTAAACCCTAAAATCAGGATTTTTGTAGCATAATTGAGAAAAAACCTTAGATTTTGGACCCTATTTTGCATATATCAAAAGAAAACGAACCTAACAGAAAGAAGAAGAAATTCAACTCCATAGAAAGAAGGCAGGAAATCAACATACATATGAACTTGCTGGTTAAAAGGATCATGGTAGGGCTTGTAAACCTGATTTAATTTTCGTACACTTTTGCTTCGTCGACCGGGTCTCCGCTACCACACTGTATCTCTGGCACAAAAGTGATTGCGCAACACTTCGGAGAGGAGATCATGGACTAATAGTACTTCAACAAATTTTGCTAACAACAAACAAATTCAGAATCTATACGAAAGCCATTATATGATGTCAAATTGCGTTAGATGGATATATGCTCAAATGAACGAAATGAAATATCAATATAGCGCATCAATAGGGGAATTCTATTAGATTAGCACGACAATTTATTAAGGACCAATACCCGAACAACCAAATTAGAAATAACAAAATTTCTGTAAACTTAATACGTAATTTACTATAGTGTTAATATACGAAGAGCCAAAACATCAGAGCACTGACATGGATCTAAAAAATTGAGACTTGAAACTAAAATACTGCATAAAAGGAATTAAATATAGTCAAAAAATGGCAAAAGAATAAAGAGTAGGAATGATGTTGAATTAGATCGTTATGTTACCTTTCTTCCAGTTTCGACTTGTTGATACTGGATAATTTACTCCGCCCATAACCAAGTTCATAAACTCAGAGTTTTCTTTTCTTTTTTTGGGTTTATTAACAAACGATATACACTAAAGATAGGGAATTCAAGAAGATAAGATGTAATGTTAGATAATAAAGATGGAATTCAAGAGACACCATAACTGTTTTCTCAATTTGAGAAAGAAAAGGAATGGGCGTGACTTTTAATTTTCAAATAAGTGACTGTTGAGTTTTTTTAAATAGCAGATAAATAGGAAAAATAGAGGGAAACCCCCAAAAAAATGGAGAAAAAAGATAAAGGCAAATTTTGATCTTGATACCTGCCACATCACCGGACTAAGTCCATCAATTATATAGATATATAGATTATTGTTATTGTTATTATTTGAGTTGAGCTTAACTGAAGAAGTTGGATTCATATAATGGATCCAATTTATTTTGGGATTGAAGCATAATTACTATTGTTGTTGTTATTATTATGTTTTCTACTAATAGGAAGCTAAATCAATTAATTTATATTTTAATAATTCTCTTAACCTTTTTCTCTAATTGATTTGCTTTGGTTTTCTATTTTACAACAAAATGCCGAGTTTGAGAGAGCACAAATGTAAAAGCATGGCCATCGAGCAAAGAGACGGCCACAAAGAGGTGAAAATCCTGAGATCAAAGCTTTGGCTGTTGGAAAGATAAAACAGCAGTTGTCTTAATACACAATCTTCAACAATTTTCATTTTAATAATTCAGGAAGGTTTGTATGTTTCATCTTGCCATTTATTTTAATTTACTGTGAATTGATGAATTATGAATATGCTTTTCCTTGTTTCATTGAGTATTTGTTATGATTATTGGGTTTGAAACTCTGTTTAGAGATGTTTATTGATAACTTGATTGACATTTGGTTCTTTACTCTATTCTCTCTCGTCTCTTTTTTCTTTTTTAAGAAAGAAAAAGAAATGAACAAAAAAGTAAAAGTAAAAGGATAGAATCTGCCTTTGTTAGTGTGTTAAGTTGAGAACAAAGGCACTCTTAATGCTAAGTCTGGTCTTGGTTGACGATACCAAAATATATACAGCACTCTTGGAGCTTTTTCACTAACTAAGTGCAAGATTAGTTGTAGATTCTTTTCATTCTATTTATATATATATTCACGAATGCTCCAACTGATCTCATCGTCCCTTGAATATATACAAAAATTGCATACTCCATTGGCTTTCGAAAATGGAAATTGTGCCAGCTGAATCCATCATCAGACGTAGAGCAGACGAAGTGGCTGAATGGTTACATTCTGTCATTGATATAGCTGGCCCTCCTCCTAGTACAACATCAGTTAATCCAACACCGCGTGTGGAGGAGTACAAAATAAGAACAATTCCCTCTACGCTTTTTAATAGTACTAGTGGGGGAGATTATGCCAAGTACTATGAGCCCCATGTGGTTTCCATTGGTCCAATACACCATGGAAAACCTCATCTTCAAGCCATGGAGAAGTTCAAACGGGAAGTAGTGAGGGAAACGGTTGGACGTGTAGGCATACCCATTGCGGAAGTGTATGCAGCTGTTGAAAAGGACTTGCTCAGCGCTCGGAATTGTTACTCTCCTAGTCCTTCCGAATGTTATGCTGACGACCGTGACTGGTGTCTGATGTTGTTCCTTGACGGCTGCTTTATTATTGAATTCCTCTCCAATGAAGATAGAATTACTAGTGGTAGCAGGAGCACGCTGAATATGAAGAAACATTATCGAGATTTGGTGTGTCGTGACCTTTTATTGTTCGAAAATCAATTGCCTTTCCAGATTCTACATGTGTTAGCACGCGCATTTGCATTTACTGAGGATCATTTGCTAGACCTTACCGGGCGTTTCCTCTTTAACCATTTGTTAACAATATCCCCTTATACTTCATTTATTGGTTATGTAGAGTACGGTTACTTTAGAAAAATCATGACGGACCCGGCCACTCCAACTCCTGCTCATCTTCTTCAAAATTTTAGAGACCTATGGATTCCTTCTTATTTTAGAGAAGAAGAAGAAGATGGTGCTATTTTTGAACCTTTATCAGTCACAGAGCTGAAGAAAATGGGTATTCGTTGCAGTTGTTCAAACAAACAACAATATTTTGGCTCATCAGTCATCCAGCTTAAATCATTTGTGTTATCAGGAACGTTGTTCCTTCCTCGACTAGTTATCAACGAATGGACCAAGACCCTGTTATTAAACCTAGTCGCTTTTGAATTTTTATGCAGCGAACAAGATAAAACCATAGGGGTCTGGTCTTACTTGAATCTCATGAATATGTTGATTAAAGGAGAGGAAGATGTTAAGGAGCTGCGAGCCAGGGGCATTCTTCAGCTCAAATCCATTAGTAGTGACCAAGAAGTGGTTTACCTCTTGAGAGATACAACAACACGTGCAGCGCCTAATCATCGAGCTTACTGGCAAGTCGAGCGATATATTTTTACTTACTCCAAAAGTAAAATGTTCCCTCTACGAGTTCTCTTTGCTGAACTTAAGCATAGGTACTTTCGTGGTCCCTGGAGTTTTCTGCTGTTTCTTGCTGTTCTCTTCACTGTCAGTATGACTGTAATTCAGACCGTCCTCACAGCAATTCAGACTTATAAATAGACTGATTGTGCATACGCATGTTGCCCCCTATCAACATTTCATTCTTGTTTTTGCCTGTATCTTCATTTGTTGTATTATGATTGTGGTCGAATATGGAAACCGTTGGATGAGTTTACTTGATGAAAACTCGTCCAATGGATTTGTTAGGAGGCAATAATTAGGCCTTTTGTTTGGCATCATGTTTCCAATTGTACTTTCCATATATTCATAATATCTTGATTGTGTTGTTACGGCTTGTTTGGATGGTTATGTATCGTTCATAATGTATCATATAATATTGTATTGTACTGTATCATTTTGATGTAAACAATGTTTGGATAGATTGTATTGTTTATCGTCGTTTCATGAAGTCATGCACCAACAATATGAGAATAAACTTGCAATATTATTATTTTAAATAGTAAGGTATGAGGTAATATTATTATACAAAAAAGATAAGGTAAGGATAAAATAGGATTTTTTTTAATAATAAAAAAAGAGCAAAATGAGCGGAAAAATAAGGAAACAACATGACCACACCAAATCAGTCGTTCCATATATAAAGTGACATTTTTTGTCGTTATGTAACGACGGATTTAATAATATAAAATTTAAGTAACAACCAAAATAAATATTGTATTTAACGTAACAATACGATACAATACAACAAGTAACAACCATCCAAACAAGCCTTTAGTGCAATAGTAGAATATGGTACAACAATTCCAGTGAAGACATTCTTTAGTATGCTTAGAAGTTTCTTACCATATATATCTATTTGATCAATAAGGGTCAATTTTTATTATTAATGTCTGATTTTGCTATTTAAAATTCACCAAGAAGCAGAGGATGAGCAACATCACTTATTTTAAGTTTGCCAACACTGGCTAAACTTTTAAACACAAATGGCTACCTGTTGCTATTCCTAACTTCCTACGCTTAAGTATAACACAATTTAACCTTCAATTGGTCAGTAGTAAGTCAACCCTGATGAGGAAAAATGTCCATTACAACCATTTAAAAATACAGACAAGAAGAGATTATTTAGAAGAAATGGAAACATCTTAAGTGTTTCTCCCTAACTATTAACAAACAGCATATATACTATCCTAAGTTTTATTTTTCAAGTTTCCTTTCTTAGAAATATTCACAATTTTTCATATTTTATCACATCACTTTGCTCATATTCTATCTGTGCATTAGAGGGACTCTGCAAATTGAGGAGCTCCTAAGTCAAGCTCTTGTTTCATTATGCAGTTCATAAACCAGTCACTGCTGAAAGTCCATAATCCCTTCTTCACTGCTGACAATGCTTCATCCATGTCTTCTTCACATGCAACGAATATCGTTTTAGAATCGTCTTTCACTTGATCTAGTCCATGTATAACCTAAAAATTTGGTAAGAAATGAACATCAAATAATGCAGGGAAAAATTACATGCTCCATCTCCTTAATTTTCAATTATTTCCATCTTGGTCGTTTTTTCTCAAGCGGAGAAAGTACAAGTTGACTCCCCTTAATTGGCCTACCTAGTGCAAATCCAGATTAGTCGAGCCAGTAGATTTTAGATAATAGATGGTGAAAGAAAAGGAGAGAAAGTGCAAGTTTGACATGATTTTGGAAAAATATAAACGGCATTATGAATATTCTGAAGATTGCTTGCTCATTAAGCAAATATTAACTCACATTTCCTCCTGCAGATTTTATAATGGCTGATAAGGTACCAACTGGAGGATGAACATGAGCTGCAAGACATATGTCATACCCCTTGAGCAGAGATTGGGGGTATGTTTTTGCTCTAAGAACTGCTCCTTTAAGCTCAGTTCTGTACTTCAGTTCGTAGTCTTCATCCCTCAAAATAAATGGCATTTCATCTGGAAAAATCAACGGGGACTGATCAACAAGTGTCAATAATCCAATTAAGGTCAAACTTAACAGTTTTTACCCACCTATAAATTTTCCATCCCGGAAGCTTTCTTTCAACCAACTTGGTGACAGTATCCAAGCTCTGATCGCATTTCCACAAGACCAAAAACAAGAAAACATGCAATCAAATTCTGGAGTCTAGCTACTTACAAGAATTTAGGTTACAAATACAAGAGATAGAAGTGAATGGACGATGTATTGTCTATATGTTTAGAAAAATAAGACATTACATATGACGTTCAAAAAAGATCAACGGACATTTGGATAGTATCTTAACTTTTTGGCACTATGCTGCATTATTTCCAGCCATGACAATCCTACATATTTTACTAAAAGCACAACAACCAAAATCTAAAATCATCCTATCAAAAATTTATCCTATAGATGCAGACATAGATTTTCACATAGGTTTGGAACATTTTATGTACTTTTTGCATAAAATGTCCCGTAAACTCTTATTGCACATGATGTGACAATTTTGCATACACTCTTAAGATGTCCATCTTGGAGAAACTGTCCTTTTCAGAAGGGAAAGCTTAAAGTAGCCTTAAGAAAGAAAACGTTCATCTTTTAACCTGAAATAAACATCAGATGTAAACTCTAGTAATTGTATTCGGGAAATAAGCAGAGAAAACTAAAGGATGGACAATAGTCAGTCCATCTTGTAATTTAGACTTAGGGCAGTTCAACTCCACCTGAAGCGCCTCGGCTAGCAAACCAAGTAGCTATTTGATCATGTGTTAGGCTGTGTTAGAATGACGAGTCGCACTCAAAAATGTAAGTTGCATATCCATCTCATCTTCTATACTTCTGAACTGGGTAACTATGGTGCATAATATACTTTTAGTATAACTGTGGTGCGTAAAGTACAATATTGGTCTTTGATTTGATCATTCCTCATCGACTGTAGTTCACATGCCCATGGCCAGTATTGAGAGACTTAAAACCTGAACTTACTTCTGACTACTTTGAACTAGTAGTCTAGTAACATAGCCTAACTATCACAACTCTATGCTTTTACCTTTCCTGGTTTTATTTTCCTTCAATTGATCAGTTTTGGTTTTTTTTCCCTCTCAATATTACTAGCGATAAAGGACTACAGGAGAAATAGCAGAAACAGTGGACAAACGAAAATAGGAAAATAACAACTCCAAATTTATGGAATAGTCAAGATAGATTAAAATGCCATCAGGCTGCAGCAAGCAGCACACGGAGGAGAAACTCACCCTGAGCAGAGAGCAGAGCAAAAATTCAAGGTTTTCCTCACTTTGCCTGTGACTACGTGTGTGCTTACACTTCCATCAGAAGTAACATCTCCACCAAGGTCTCCGATTATCTGCATAAGCAGCATAAATGTGCAGTTAAAAGGAACAATAACTGAGAAGAATCCCTCAAATAACTGAAAAATAGGTTACAGATTCATATTGTGAAAGGGATTAAGCATCAAATAATCATTAAAGAAGTATCTGGCAAAAAAGTAGGCAACTAGAGTATACCTTGGTCAAATTTGCTTTTTTATTATCATCAGCAATGTTCATCAGCATAATTCTGTAGCTTGTCCCTCTTGAAGAAACGCCTCGGCTACTGTGACCTTTATATGTGGCATTAACTGTTGTAGCTTCTTCAGCATTCTTTTCCAGAGAGCAGCTTGTCAATCGGTCACTAGGATTAATATCTGCCCGACATTTTCTCTTTGAAACTGCAGAGAAACTAATCCCCACATCACTTTCTAAACTATTGTCCTTAGCATGCAAGTCACATTCAGTTTGATGTCCTCCCTTTATTTTTTTGGATTTAACAGAAGTGTACGATGTTTCCCAAGTCCTCTTCTTTGATCCTGATGCTGAACAAGAACATTGTTTCAGAAAAGCCTGGCTTTCGCTTTCATTGAATCCCATAGGTCCGCGCTTGCTGCTCCCAGCAGCACAATCTCCAGGTTGATAGTCTTGACAATCTTGAAAGAAATACAGAAACGAGAATAGTGATACACATTGAAAGATCTGTAGAAGTCACAATATGCTCTAACCTTTTTTTTCTTTTGAATTCAAAGTAACTAAAAATAATGTTGATGAAGCCAGACATTTAAGGGTCATAAAATTACCAAATTTACCTTGGAGCTAGTAACTATTTTGATGTGTGCAGGGAAGTAATTGTTACAAGGATAAACATGGAGTTGATACAAGATGAAAATTAATGTGGTAGTTCTGTGAATTAGCAGAAGTGGTATTAGCTTCGCTTACCGTAGTAGTTAGAGCCGATGCTTTTAGTTGCCTCATTTCTGTACTGGGAATGGTCATTTCCATCAGACACAGTTTCTCTTTGTTCTTGAAAAACTGGAGATTGGCAATCCTCTCCTGAAGGCTTCAAGGGAAATTTCAGACTTAGATACACTGCAGAATCGTGTAAGTTGTCCTTGTTGAAATGAGAAATCATGAGATTTTAACCACCAGGAAAACACAATGCTTTCCGAATATCAGCCTTAACGGGGAGCCTGCGAGCTCTGCCTTTCGTGTCAACTTGACCAATAACTGAAAACCCCTACACGTGTTGCTTATTATCATAAAGTGTAGGAGCAACAGAGCATGTGCATAGCCAGTATCTATGCACCTATTTGATTTGTGTTATCCGTATCTAAACTATACATAAGAAATACAGAGGGATTTATCATAAGGTAAATACCATAATGCATTTTGACATATTTTGTTTTCAGCTTGATAAAGTTCATCAAAAATATGAAACTTACCTTAAATAGCATGCTTTTGGGAATCTTTTATACATATTTACTAATGTATTATATTCTAAAACCAGCCATGATTGGTTATAGTTCAACCCTATACAAGCATAATTGGAGGTTTACCTGCTTAAGCCAAAATAGTTCAGACTCCTTATCTCCCCAGCAAAGTACGGTTCGAACACCCACACCTTGCAATCTTTTCCTCAGCTCCATATAGATTAAGTGACCAAGCCCCTGCAAGTCAAGGTGTTAATATTGTCCCAAGTTCCTATACCATTGAACATTATCTATTAGGAAATTTGTCAAAACTAATGCATGCAGATGTTTAAAAGCGTAAAATTTTAGGATCTTTCAGACTTTAAAATACTTGTTGAATAGTTATGAAGGAATTGTTGAATGGATACACTTATTTGGTTAATTTGGGTCTGCAATAATCATATCTCTTATAATGAGCAGAGAAGAGCACATAAAGAATAAAGAAGATGAAAAATTTAACAAGTTTAACAGAAACGCTACATCTATGTTTCTCACAAAATTCATAGTTCTAGAAGACAGCATTAATATTTGCAATTTTGCACTCATATCTCTCGAAGCACGAGAGAAATGCTACAGTCTTAATCCAGTATGTGAATCAAAGCGACAATCAGAAATCAACATAAAAATCATATTAAAGCTAGGGAACAACTAGTGAACCTTGAGTTGGTACACCGATTTAACAGCCGCAAGAGGAACCTCAGCAAATTGCATATCAGCTGGAACTATTTGATAAGTGATTGCAGCAATGACCTTGACAATAAAAAGATAAAAAAGGATTAGATGCAGAATTTCAGTTAAAGCAATGTGCAGTAGACCTTCACGAGCACTCAGACTTGCACATTTAAATAGTAATGTTAATACATAGAAATACACATTCCATCAAGCTCGATGACCTATAAGACAGAATTTTTTATTCCATTTATACCAAGAAGCACATAATAAGTACTAGTGCAGCAATCATCGGAGCTGAGCATACCTCCTCAGGTTCTATGCCATCCTTGGTTTTCAGAACTAGCGTGCAGTACTTCCTGCCAAAGCAATCAACATTCAAAATGCAGATTTCACATCCATTCACAAAATATATGAAATCACTGGGTTGTTGTTTTGTTGTCACAAAATATATGAAATCCATCATAAGTAGGATTATGCTAAAAGACCATGAGAAAAACATATCAGCACAAAGAGAAGAATTAACTGCTACATAATTATACCCATTTGATACACATCTTTCAAGGAATTGTGATTCTTTTCCAGTGTTTGCAGCATAGTTCATTGCTGGTAGCTCTTTTGAATAAATGCTCAATACTTCCTGCCGCAACATAGACAGTAAACAAGTGAGGATGGTGATATGGTGTCCATCTCATTCAAATGGTTTGATAGCCAACCTTGTTGAATTAATATGATTTGGCAGCTAATTTTGTTGACTTAGTTTGGTTTGGTAGCCAACCTTGTTGAATTTGTGAAAAGGGTGTGTAAATTGTCAAATATTGTAGGCTTTAGAGAGTGAAGTTTTGGCAATAAAAGGAGAGCTTCAACTCTCATTTCATCAAATCAACAAAGAGTGAAAGATAGAGAGCAAGTTATTCCATAGACTTGTGAAGATAGTTTGTGAAGAAAAATAGAGTGTGAAAAATATTGTAGTGAGGTGAAAAAAGCAAAAGAGTATTTTTTTCTTTTGAGGGTGTAGTGGTCTTAGGAGTATTTGTACTCGTTACTACAAAGTGTAAAATTCCTCGCTATAGTGATATCAGTTGCTCTTCTTGGCCGTGGTTTTTCCCTTATTCAGAAGGGTTTCCACGTAAAATTTTGGTGTCATTTTTGCTGCATTTTTTTTCTTGCTGATTTAACCATAACTTAGTGGTCCGCGTTTATCACTAATACCGTGAATATTATTTTTACGAGGTTTATTCCCAACATATGGAAAACAACTTAGTCTAAGCCGCAATTATCAAGCAGGGTAAAATAAAAGATAAGCACAGACAACAGAGAAAGAAAACACCACCTTCATTTGTTACACAACACGAATAATTTGTCGGTGTGTTCTGATTTTGTCAACCAATAGACATAGAAAGGGCTAAGTAATCACAACTGCACAGCCTTTACAGATTTCCCAATCACCCTACCTTCATCTTTTCCCCTAATTACCAATTCATCTATAGGTAGATGCTCTAAATCATAATCCAATCCAAACATAGAATGCCCACCACCATTTTCTGGCAGAACTTTGTCGAGTATAGACAGAAACAAGTAGGAAGGTGTCTCCCAAAATGCTTGAGCTAATATTAACCAAAAGATCATTTACTCCGGAAATGTTAACCACCAAATTTGCATGATGCTATAGACAAAGCACCACCAAATTCTTTTTACATCTTATCAAAATACTATTTTCATTTTCTCCATTTGCGCAGCAACTTCCAAGTACAGTAGCCAAACTCATGAGAAAACTTGTGTCCAAGAGGTAAGCTAAAGCAGCTGCAATATAAAAAACTATATGCAAACAAATAGTATAATTATGACGAATGAACCGAGCAAAATGAATATAATGAATTCATATAACTGACACAGACTAGTTTGGCACTAAGGTGCATTTTATTCAATTGATTATATACAAAATACACTACACTCAAATACACCTAGAAACAAACTAGGTATGCACAAAAAAAGGATATACCTGAAGTAAAGACTTGGTTTTTCCGTCAACATCTTTGGGATTAATGAGCATGAAGCAGTAATTACCTAATCAACACAGGCCCACAACCAAATTGATCATTTCACAAATCAAGAAAAATCATAGATACAACAAACTCAACAAAATGAAACAAAAAAGAAAAATTTATCCCAAAAAAATCCCATACCATTTTCCTCATACCCACTATTCATAGGGATTTCGCCTTCCTTTGAGCAATTCCCATCATCCACCACTACAAAACACATTAACATTAGCAAACCACTCACTTCAAAATATTATAAGCATTAATTAATATCTCGATAAATATGGTAACTAACATGCTATCACATATAAAAATTCACTTACACTATCAGTGTATATAACTTAAATCCTAAAGAAAAACCTGAATGACCATCCAAGAAGTATAGTAAACAAATAAATAATAATAAATGTTATACTAAGTAAGATTATTACCAAAGATTTTGACTTTGGCGTTCTTTGCCAAAGATATTTCGAGACTGTTTTCGTTTAATTCTGAGGAGAATTTCCCAGCTTCCACAACAATCTTACAATTTCCTAAAAATAACAAAAATAAAAAAAAATGAAAATTAGGGATTTTATGAGGATAATTATTGAACTGTTAAATTGGAGCAATCTAGGGTTTTTTTTGCTTACCGATGGGAATAGGTGTATTAGAAGAGAAGAGAGAAGATCGTTTTTTCGGAGCCATTGTAACGTACGTCGTAAGCTACTTTGCCTTTGTTTTTTATTTTGAAAAATGGAAGAAAAAAAATGGTGGGAAACGCAGAGCGAGTATTTATAAAGGATGATTTAAGCGGGAAAAAGAAGTAGTTTTGAATTTGGTTTTACGTTTTTTCATTTTCTTTTTTAAATTTTTTTAACAGTACTCGTATATTTTAAAATATACGACCTGCTCTTTTATGTGTTTTTTTTAATTTCCTTCTTTAAATTCGTTTAAGCCACGACCTGACCGTAATGATATTCCGTCTCAAATAGTTCTTACCCAAAGTAAAAATTAAAAATTAATTAAAATAATTCATTTGTTAAGGTGAAAAATAACTTAAAACTCTAATATATGATAGAATGTGCAAATTATTAGTTGCGAGAAATCAGTTAAGGTTGCTTTTATGTTTTTCTTTTATGTTTTTTTTTTTGGTAAATAAACAATTTTATTACCAAGCAATGTTATGTACTGAGTTTCAAACCTACAAAATCAAATAAATTACACACGCGAGCTGAGCATAGTGCCCCAAATGCTAGGTACTTCCTATCTATCTATCTTCTACCTTCACTGCCTGTGGATATGAATCCAATTCTTTTAATTTATTAGCTACTTTTGACTTCTTGTTTCCTCGATAAAATACGTCTTGTACTATCACCCGAAAGATCCCATCAACAGTCTTCTTCTTGTCCTGGAACAATGTTGTATTCCTCTCAAGCCATATATAGTAGACATACCCTGCGAGAGTCATTTTGTAGACCTCCGCAATGACTTTCTTTCCATTTATTTCTTGGACTGTCCATTCAATCTCTTCATCCCACTTCAATACCGACCTTTGGAATCCCTGCCATTTCAGTAGTCTCCCCAAGATTTCTTTTGACATCCCACATTCAAAAAATAAGTGTGGAATGGTTTCATTTTCCTCATTACACAACTTACATTTTTGGTCTATTGCTTTGCCCCATCCTGCTACCTTATCTTTCGTGTGCAACTTCCCTTGGATCGCCAAATTTATTATAAAACTCCACCTAGGAACAGCATAGTTGTTGCAAGTTAGTCTCTTCCATGGAACCTTTGGGAACTCCCCTCTCATTCTATGGTACATCTTTTTAATAGAGAAGGATTGATGGCTCATCAACTCTGTAGCCTCCATTCCTGTCATTTCTAGGTATGCCTTGGCTTTAAGAATTTTGAGTAGTACCCAGGATGCTTGCTTCACTTGGACCTCCCAGATGTTCTTCCCCTTCCCGTAGTATATATGGACCCACCTTACCCACAATTTATCTTTTTTGGTACATAGGTTCCACGGAAGTTTAATTATTGCTATCTTGTTCCGAGTTTCAATGTGTATTACATTTTAAAAAAAACTACTGTTCTGGGCCAACAGATCTTTTCCCAAGCCAACAATGCTCTCTTTGATACCTATGATGTGCCAGTCCAGAGAAAGCTTCTACATGTTGCCTCTATCAGTTTCATAACTTTCTTAGGTAGCACAAAGATTTGGGACCATAACACTTGGACTGAGGATAGTACACTTTTGATCAGATAGAGTCTGTAAGCACGTGATTTTTGCCCTATATGAGAATTACTCCCAAAAAATTCAAAAATAAAGT